CTCTTCCTCCTAATTCCTCTCAGATCAATATTTGATTCTTGTTGAAAAACCAAGGTTAATAGAACTCTAAATTTTTTCAGTTTATATATTTTAAGAGTATAATAAAAAGATTCAAAATGATACCTATCTATAATTTATGTGAAATGATGAGGGTCCCAGACTGGTGAGAAGCTTATCAGATAGAAGACTGAGCTCTGTATCGTCCACTGATAATGAAACACACTCAAAGAAATCTCTAAAACCTCACTGAATGTATGTAAAGAAATCATGTCTAGCTAGGCATGCATGCCTTTAATCCCAGCACTGCGGAGGCAGAGGCAGGCACATCTTTGTGAGTCTGAGGCCAGCCTGGTCTACATGGCAAGTTTCAGGACAGTTGGAGCTACAGGGAGACCCTGCTCAAAAAAAAAAAAAAAAGAAAAAAGAAAAAAAAGAAGAAGAAGGAAGGAGAAGGAGAAGGAGAAGAAGGAGAAGGAGGAGAAAATCATTTCTATAACACTAAGACAAGTGTTCTGCTATTTTCATACTAGAATTACTCTGCTTTTTAATCCAACATAGGGCAAAGAGAAGGTATGTTGGGGTTAATACTACTTTTAAAAATACAAACTTGTAAAGATTTTCTTGCATAGGAATTCTAAGCACACTTAATGAGAAGTTTGTATATTAAATCCTAGAGTGAGCAGAAAGTATTTCACAGCCACTCTTCACAGAAGCTTCTACATTGGGTGTTGACAGCGTCTAACAAGTGCCTTCCTTGTTTTTCTCATTCTAAATCCTGTTGAAACTTTTAGAAACTTCCCCTGCCCAGCACACTGGGTATGTAACAAGGGCTGGGAGAAATCAATTCTTATAGGCTCAGATCCTGATACTTCATTTTTGAGCTAAGATTGCTAAAACTGGTAATACACCAGTAATGTCTTGGTGCCCAACATAAACGGCTCCAGGATCTTACGAGTACAAAGCTTTTGGTGATTATTTTTCATTGTGTAGCTTTGCAGTTTCTTGTCCAAAAGGAAAATTGGTGCCTGAGCGATTATACTTATTATAATATAGAAGTGAAAACGTTGCTACTTACTATTGTCGACACAAAAGTATAACTCTCACCTCAAAGAGCATAAGAGATAGTTTATTCTGGAGCCAAATATGAGTGACCATGGCCTGGGAACCAGATTGAGGTTACCCCAAATTCCATGTTCCAGCATGGTAACAGTTGCCTTACATTTTTATAGTAACAGAGCAAAGAAAAGTCATAAACAAGACACTTTTCAAATACATTGGTGCATACATTCAGTAGGTGGGTCTTAGATGTTATCTGATGACATTCTTAGCTTTTGGGTTGGTGAGACCTCGTGGTCTGCTAAGTTAATACATTCTAAAAGGGTTTTATCTGTTAGTCACAGGATGTTAGATCAGAAACAGAGGTGGGTAAGGAGTGGCTGATTAGGGGGCTAAAGATGACCTGATAAATGGTAATTAGACTCTGGACCTGCAACATTCCAAACTCTTCAGTCTCTGGAGTGATAATCAGTTGGTCAGCCTTGCAGGAAGTTCAGTCCAAGGTACAGGAGTTCCTTTTGGGAACTTTTCTTTCACAGTTCCCCCTGTTGGCCAAGCATCACATTTTGAGCATGCAGGGGCCATATATTATTTCTTCACAGGTCGTCTTAGGAAGGCTTATTCCTAGAATCTGATGTAGATGAGGCTCAGTTGTAGGTGAGATAGTAGTCTTCAGGAGAGAGGAAGAGCTAGCTAGCAGAGCCAATAAGAAAGAAATGCCTAGATCATAACAAAACTATTAGCTAGCATGGTCCAGATCTTACTTTTCTTTTCTTTTGTTCTATGTGACATAACATTTGTATGTGACATATAATAGAATGACTATACTTAAAGTAATCAAGATTATTGCTTGGCCTAATGGAGCAAACGTAACAGTTTAAGGCAACAAATATTAAAATAAAAATGAGATTGACTATGTTTCCCCCTGTATTTACAGTTATCTGTACTCTATGAACTATTTTTTCTATATTTGGAACATATAAACAAATCTATTTTTTTTTTCTAATGTTTGGTTTTTCTTTGGATAAGTTAGACCTTATAGCGATAATCTCGTGGAGTGGCTAGCTCTAACTCTAGTAGTTCTTATATATGGATAATGAGTTCATCTGTTGTATTATATTGGCATCACACAAGCTTTAGTTTAAAAAAAAATGAAACATATTATAGAAGATATTACAAAATAATAGTCTTCAAACTTTTTTCTAGCAAGAATGTCTTCATTTACATAACAAATGATAGTAACATTAATCGAAACAAGAGATCAAACCTGTTAGGAAATCAGAATTTTATAGGCCTTAAAGGCTTAACCAACTATCTTTTTAAAAATTTTATTTTAATGATTAGAAATGTAAATTGTCCATTTCCTTAGTAAAATACAGATATTGCTTAACTGTTTTTATCCCGGCTAATTGTACTATATAGGACAACTTAGATGCTCATTTAATCAAAGAACATTAGTACTTTAACTATAAAATATCAAGAATATGTTGTTATTAGAATGATGTCTTGTATAATTTGGATAAGAAGAATTAACCCAAATCTTTGGGTATTTCTATCTAGAGAAAATAAGGCTGTAGTTACTGGATAAACACTGGAGTACATTTTAAGACACTTTTAGTCTAATTGGTTGAATTTGGTTTGGAAAAAATATATATATACATATGTACTATGTATATAATATACAAATATAT